GTGTTCCCTATAGCTCATCGTTGAAGTATACATACATAAAAAATTGGGTGATCTAAGTCTAATATAAGTAATGTCACATAACAGTAGTTGCTATGTAATCAGAGGTTAGCACGTCATGCACCGTTATATGAATATTCCATATTTGTAATTTTAAAATAATTAATCATCATGACTAAGTTTTTGTTTTTCATTAATCCTATAGAAAAAAAAACAGAATGTACAGTATATTTCCTTGATTGCTTGGCTTAGTCAAACCCACCAACAAAAGAGAACATTTGCATCAAAATCTTTAATCACAAAAAGAAACTAAAAAGATACCATTAAACATTCAAACCAAAACTCTCTTATTATGAACTTGTTGTGTGTTAAGCATATAAATTGTTTATTTACATAAAGGTTCTGACAATACAAACCTGGTCGTTGACGTTTCCTATGTCTCTTGAAAATCTCCCTAGCTTATTCAACCTTTTAAGAGTTTTATGATACTACTTAAATCCTTAATATAATCGTTTAGGTGACTGAACATATATTACAAACACTACTTATGACCCACATACATATCTTTAATCTTTTGATAACAAACACTATATTTAAAGTATTTGTTTAGTTGTAAAGTGTTGTTTTAACATTTCAAACACTATATTTAATTTGTTTAGTAGCAAAGCGTTGTTTCAACATTTCCATACTTAGAAAAGTTCAAGTTTACTCTCTTTGTTAGATATTACATATTAATTGCTGCTTTGAGTAGCATTTAGGAGAAGATCATATAAAATGCCCTGGTCTCAAGCATGAGAGAATGTATGGATTAATATATAATACAAAATTAACAAACAAACTATAAAGCTTTTTCAATCCCTACTTAAGATACAAAATATATAAACGTGATAACCTTAGCACCTACCCTTATGCCCAAACCCCACCTAGCATCACATGCATGCGTGATACATACAATCTATAAATACTTACGCAAGAACCAATTTCAAAATATCGGCTGTGTTCATTGCTAGCTAGCACACACAACTCACTACATACACACACAAACATGATGATGATGATGAGGAGCCTTACCACATCATTACCATACCCTTTTCAAATCCTACTAGTCCTTATCTTGTCTATTGCATCAATCTCTATACTTGGTCGAATTCTATCAAGACCCACAAAAACCAAAGACCGATCTCGTCAGCTTCCTCCTGGTCCACGAGGATGGCCTATCCTCGGCAATTTACCGGAGCTATACATGACTCTTCCTCGGTCCAAATACTTCCACCTTGCCATGAAAGAGCTAAAAACGGATATCGCATGTTTCAACTTCGCCGGAGTCCGCGCCATCATCATAAACTCCGACGAAATCGCTAGGGAAGCTTTTAGAGAGCGAGACGCTGATTTGGCAGACCGGCCTAATCTTTTTATCATGGAGACCATCGGAGACAATTACAAGTCTATGGGAATCTCACCGTACGGTGAACAATTCATGAAGATGAAAAGAGTGATCACAACGGAATTAATGTCCGTTAAAACGTTGAACATGTTGGTAGCTGCAAGAACCATCGAAGCGGATAATCTCATGGCCTACGTTCACTCGATGTACCAACGGTCCGAGAAGGTTGACGTTAGAGAGCTCTCGAGGGTTTATGGTTACGCAACGACCATGAGAATGCTGTTTGGAAGGAGACATATCACGCAAGAAAACGTTTTCTCGGATGATGGGAGGCTAGGAGAAGCGGAAAAGCATCATCTTGTGGCTATTTACAACACTCTGTATTGTTTGCCTGGTTTTAGCCCAGCGGATTATGTGGAAAAATGGTTAAAAGGTTGGAACATTGATGGTCAGGAGGAGAGAGTGACAGTGAATTGTACTATTGTTCGTAGCTACAACAATCCCATAATCGAAGAAAGGATCAAGTTGTGGAGGGAAAAAGGTGGTAAGCCTGCTGTTGAAGACTGGCTTGATACCTTCATTACGCTAAAAGATCGAGACGGAAACTACTTGGTCACGCCTGACGAAATGAAAGCTCAATGCGTTGTAAGTACAAAGAATATACGCTAATTAAAATGATCATCTGAATTCTGACCAATAGTAAAAGAAACATATGTTAAATACTATTTGACTAAAGTTTCGGGATGTAATGTGGAACGAGCTAGTATAGTTTCATTCATATTTTCACACATGATATTAAATATTTGTTTTAACTTAAAATCATTCTAAAGGATACAAATTCAGTATTGTATAAACATATATTATTACTTTGTTAGGCAGGTAATTAGATTGTTTGCTGATTTTGGTGATTTTGTAATAGGAATTCTGTATAGCAGCGATCGATAATCCGGCAAATAACATGGAGTGGACACTTGCGGAAATGCTAAAGAACCAGGAGATTCTCAGAAAGGCTCTGAAAGAGTTAGACGAAGTAGTTGGGAAAGACAGGCTTGTGCAAGAATCAGACATACCAAACCTAAACTACTTAAAAGCTTGTTGCAGAGAAACATTCAGGATCCACCCAAGCGCTCATTATGTCCCTACTCATGTTGCTCGTCAAGATACCACCCTCGGGGGTTATTTCATTCCCCAAGGTATAAAGAATTTGGATCCAACTGGTTAAACATCAAACATCTGAAAGACTAAAGCTACCACTATATATTAAGAAATTATATTGATTATTGGACAGGTAGCCACGTCCATGTATCCCGCCCTGGACTAGGCCGGAACCCTAAAATATGGAAAGATCCCTTAGTGTACAAACCGGAGCGTCACCTCCAAGAAGACGGAATCACAAAAGAGGTTACTCTCGTGGAAACAGAGATGCGTTTTGTCTCGTTTAGCACCGGCCGACGTGGCTGCGTCGGTGTTAAAGTCGGAACGGTCATGATGGTTATGATGTTGGCTAGGTTTCTTCAAGGGTTTAACTGGAAACTCCATCAAGATTTTGGACCATTGAGCCTCGAGGAAGATGCATTATTGCTTTTGGCTAAACCGCTTCTCTTGTCCGTTGAGCCACGCTTGGCACCAAACCTTTATCCAAAATTCCATCCTTGAGATGGTGTTAAGAAAAAAGAAAAACAGAGAAGGATCGAACAAGACCCCTTGTTTTTATTCTTCTCCATTGTGTTCTTCACCGCGTAGACGTTTCTATGTTATGTTGCTATGCTTATCTGTATCTATGTTATGTTAACTGATCGTACTGTCTGTCGTTCGTTGCTGTCTTTTGCTTTCGTTTATCTGTCGCTTCATAATCAATATTAATCAAACATTCCAAGTAGCATATTGTATTTATAACTTAAGAGGTTAATGATGGTCGTGTATAGTTGGAATGTTGTTAAGGATTATAGTACGACGAGGTGAATCCTCAAACAAAACAAAAAGAAAACCACTTAAAAAGGGAGTAATTCCTTACGTAGATAAAATATACAGTAATATTGGGGACATATGATAACAACAAAAATCACTTGGAAAGTAAATCCGTACGTAGATAAAGATACTAATATTGGGACATGACACCAATGTCATGGTTCCCCATTACCTAGTACCCAAGACATTATTTAGTAGAACTAGAATCTATCAAAAATAATTAAATACTATTGTATTATGTTTACTAAAACTATCTACATTAGGAAGAGTGACTTTAAATACTAAATTTAGCAAGAGTGACTTTAGTCATTTAGCAAGGGTGACTTTTAAATACTAATTTTTTTTTAATGAAGTTGTGTCTTTTCAAAAAAGTTAAAGATCCTCGAAAAAAAATATAAGTGTCTTTTTTATTTAATTATATATAAAACACCCATAGAAGAATGACCAATAATTATGCTATTAAAATTGAAAATATCTATATATTGTATATATCTGCTTACAAAATCGTGGTTTTGTTTATGGTAAAGTATATTTTTATTTAACCGTCTTAGTTAGTTATTTGACTATAAAAAAATTGGAAATTATTTTTCTATTTTTACAAAAAAAAAAAAAAAAAATACTATATGATTGTGGTTAGAATTTCACCTCCAATGTTGTATTGACAGGTGATAAGTACTGATAGAGCTAGCGAAGATAAATCAAAAACTTCAAAAGAATAGGTAAAGACTAAATTAAGTTATAAAATGAATCGAATCAAAGTTGATGATATATGTATTCCCATGTAAAAGGAAGAAATGGAACTAGAATTATATCAATCAAGACTCCACCACCGTACGTAATGCGGTAATGGGATGCGACACTTTGACGACCAGTGTATCATAGTGTATCATGATTCATCTTCGTTTTTCTTGGTTTTGTTTGCATCTATGATATTCTAGGGTTACATCAAATGATTTAAAAGAAAAAACGTGGTTACCAACCCACAGGCATTTCTCAAGAACATTTATCATCAATCTATCACCTCAGACTCTCAGTCTCGTTCTCACAACTGTTACATTACCAAAAAAACATGAACCATATCAATTATACCACCCTACGTTGTTCAGGTTGTATACTACAAATGGGTGGAGATTTATTAAGGCCCAGTAACCCAAACGCCGTTCTATACATCTTCCTCCAGGGCTACAATTATGGCCCAATCTGGAAAATTGCTGCCATATTCCTTTCTTAACGAGTGAAACCGACTTTTCAGTGGAACTGTGGAGGGCGGAGATTTACGGGCGTTTACGTCATCACTATTATCTCAACGAAACCGCCTTCACAAGCGTTTAAGAAGAAAGGCGCCAGAGAATACGACTACGTGTCGTTTGTCTTTTGTATTCCATAACGTTATGTTGTTTCCCCTCTCGCTAAATACATTAAAAATTTGGGTGTTCTGACATGGCAGTAGAGGTTGGCACGTCACCGTTATATGAATTCTTGATCCTATAGAAAATACATTTGTGTATATTCCTTGAATCACAAGTTACTAAGGGCTTAGTCAAACCCTCTAACGAAACCAAACATTTTACAATAAAATCTTAAAAAAAAAAAAAAAACACTTAAAATACACCATCAAACCAAAAATCTCTGATGAACTTGTTGTGTGTGTTTAGCATATAAATGGTTTATTAACATAACGGTCATGACAATACAAACCTGGTCGTTGGCTAAACCTATGTCTCTTGAGAATCTCCCTAGCTCTGATAACCAGTTTTTTGTTCGTAATCTTCTTCTCCTTTCTCGTCTCCGACAATATCGTCTGAATCGCATCACTGAATGCTCCATAGGCTTTTCCGGTTCTTGTCACATAAACATCCTCTGATTTCTCATATGTTTGGCACCCGCTTAACAGAATCCCATTGTTGGCAAATTCTTTTGTGCCTTGAGAATTAACTGCATTAACCTCGCAGTTTCCTATGTCACGTAAACCTCTGTCACCGCTCATGCTCGAGTCTTCACCAAATAATTTGGCAAGAGTCTGTCTGATTCTCCCAGATTTGATATCAGTTTCCCCGGTTTGCTGCTTGAGAAGGCTAACGTAGATATGGAAAGGTATATATCTTGTTTTTACTTCAAAGGTTTCTTCCCTCTCAGATTCTGTCTCTCCTCCGGTAAAGCTTTCTAGGGCACCTCCACCGTCTCTCTGAGTTTTTGAGATCCCACAAGCGGCGAAGAAACTCATAAAAATGCTAAGCAAGTAATTAGCAATCCCAAGTGTTGGCGGGTTCTCATGGTTTTCCTCGATCGGTTTCACATGGCTTTCCCCGATCTGCTCCTTTACTTCCTCAATGAGACCACCGCTATGGCAAGAGTCCGAGATTATCGTCAATTGACAACCTTTTTCTACCTTTGCCACCATTTGTCGAAAGTCATCGTCTACAAAACACATTTTATGCCAAAATGATTAGGAAAACCCGGAAAGTAATCCAAAAAACACCAATATTCTTGTCAAAATATTGACGCACTCAAACAGAAAAGAGCGTTCTGTTTTCTTGATAGAGTAGTGCATACATCAATATTTAACCAAGAAAAGTTTGGAGGAATGGTTATAAAATCGAGCAAAGAAAGGTTAGTTATGGTGATATCATACCCTTGATAAGATTCATATCGCAAGGAGTGATACACTCGTCATACCCGGTAGAGTCGCCTGATTCTTCATTAACAGGAGGAAGTCTCGTGCCATGTCCACTGTAATGAAAGACCAGAATATCACCAGACTTCCCGGCTTTGATGAGGTCCTCCAACTTGTCGCGGATGTTCTTGCCTGTGGGTTGGATGTAGGACTTGTCTGTGTCGATCAGTATTGTGATGTCGCCGTTGGAGAACCCGTAACGTTCGATCAAGCATTTCTGCATCCGACGGACGTCGTTGACACAGCCACGCAGCTCCACAGCTGTTCCTGGGTAGTTGATACCTATCAATAACGCTTTCTTTGCCATTGACAAATTATGCCTTAGCAGTCTCCTCTGTTTTTGTTTTTGTCTTTCGTGAATCGTATTTACACTTATGTCTTTTAATTTATAAACGACAGCATTTAAAGTTCCTTTAAACCACCTTGAAGGGTCTGATACAAGTTCATTTAATATTCTTGACTGCTATATTGCCTTTTTTTTTTTTTTTTTTCCTTCTCTTCGGGGAAACTGTGGGGTGCTCTTTTTTTATATGGCCTTTACGTCTCAATTTTATAATTTTTTCTTGGTCTTTTCTTTTTGTTGGCGGCTATTTCATTGGTCTTTTTAATACTCAGATATGAATATAACTCTTTTTTTTCTTTTTTTTGGTCACCAAGAACTCGTATTACTCTATATATATATATAAGATTTTGAATGGACTAAAAAAATGGCATATTTTTATTAAGAAAAGATGAGAGCCATTAAGCTAATTAGCTGGAATAACAACTATAATACTGTACGACTAGGTGTGGTCAATAAGGAATTATATGATTAGGTTTTGATTTATCTATTTAAAAATTGAGTTGGCATATCTAGTTGACAAAACGAAAACAAAAAAAGGTTGGCACTATCTTACTAATTCGTATTCCCCATGTGTGGTTGTGTATCTAAGGTCAATAGATTAATTCTTTTTTTAGTAAACTAATTTTATGCTTGGATTTCGTTTTGGTCTCATTTTTGGATCAACTTAGTTGTTAATTTGTTATGCAATATGTGCATAAGTACAGTATTTGTGTAAACAGATTGAGAATGTCCTTAGACTTGGATGAAAAATCATGAATGTTACGAGGACTTTTTTAGAAAAGATAATGTGACGTCGAGGCTGATACGTGAAGGAAGCTTGTCCAAATCACACTAGTTTCCAATCTGATGCTAACAAGACGTTCCAGTAAAATAGCCTAACAGGCAAACACTATCAGAATATATATTAGCCCAATAGCTAGGGCCCAATAATACTTTCAGGCCTTTTTTAATTTCATCCTTTTGTCCGTCTGTAGTCTGTTCTGTTAAAACCTCAATAGCCTATTTCTTTGTTAAAACCTCCATAGCTTCTCTTTGTTTCTCTGCAAGACCAGTGGTGATGGTGAACAAAGGCAGTGGTGCCGGTGGAGGAAGCGGACCTACGGCCGCAGCAGCCGCAGCTGCTTTACAGAAGCAAAAGGCGTTTTTACAGAGAGTAGAGACTGACATCACATCCGTCGTTGATAGCTTCACTCAAATCGTCAATGTCGCGAGGGTTAGTGATTCGCTTTCGCTTTTTATACTTAGGAATTTAATCTCTGGAGCTTAGATTTTGACTGAAGATGACCTTTTTTTTGGAAATCTGTTTTACAAATTAAAAATTTCGAGTTTCGTTCTCCGTTCATTAATTGAAGGTGAGAACGGTTTGGTTTGGTTTTGATTTTGGTTTGTGTAGGTGAGTGATCCACCGGTGAAGAACTCGCAAGAAGCACACATGATGGAGATGCGAGCGTCTAGAATGGTAAAAATAAAAGTTGATGTCTTTTAACTTTGGAAAATGCAATTAGGGTATAAGGTTTAAAGGCAGCATATGGGATCACAGACGCAAAATGTTTGAATCCAAAGCTCACTTTTCACTAACCATTAGTTTCCAAAATCTAGTTTTAGTTTTTTGGTTTCCAGCTGGGTTTGTTGTTGGTAGCTTATGTATCGTGTCCTGACTGCTTTTTACTAATGATGGATTGGTGGCAGGTCCAAGCAGCTGATTCTCTTTTGAAACTCGTATCGGAACTGAAGCAAACCTCGATATTTTCGGGATTTGCATCACTAAACGATCGTGTAGAACAAAGAATTGAAGAGTTTGATCAAGAGGCCGAGAAGTCAAATCGATTGTTGGCTATAATAGCCGATGCTGTATCTGCCAGTCTTAAAGAGCTCGAGTCTCACTATTACTCTTCTGCTCAGAGATTCACTCTAGACTTTTAGAAGGGGTTTTGGTTACTTTAGTTTAATCCGAGAAAACAGCAAATCGTAGGATCTTCTTCTAATTTCCCTGTAAATCTTTAGGCTCTTTCGCTGAACAAAATCTTATAGAATTGGGCATTTGCCATTTAACTTTGGAACCAAGTGTTTGTAATCCAAGAGACATTTTCTTCCCTGCACTGACTCAAGAATCCTTAAAATACTTAGTCTCACCACTCGATGTTCCCTTATGACTCACAATAATTCTTAATTCCCAATAATATAATGTACGACGTGCACACCTATCTTGGTACAGTATATGATGGAGCTTTGTTATATTCGTGACAACAAGTCACGTCGAAATCTTAAGGATAAAAAGATAGTCAACTCCCAACGTTGATGCTTTGAGACAAAAAAAAAATTGTTTTCGTGATCTCTACGTGGAAACCTGAACACTCTTGATCTAGCTTTACTCGCCGGCGATGTTATTGAATCTCGGGAATAAGCTTGTATCGCCCGAGGTAAGTTTTAACTAAACGTCTATAACTTTCATTACTTTAAATACAAGAAATAGTGCCATTTGAGATGAGGGTTCGTAATATTTTGTGATTTTATTTGCTTTATATGTTTGTCCTTTTAATTAGGACTAAACCCTAATAACACAAATAGAGTTTTTCCCTAATTCATTTTACCTCCCTGTGAGAAATTCACAATCCCAATGTCTTCTGTTATTGTGCAGGCGAGTCATCATATATCTCAACAACGACAACAGCGTATAGATATACAGAAGCAAATTGATGAAAACACAAAGAAGATTGAAGAACATATACTAAAAACAGAGCCGGCTCCGTTCACCAACAACAATCACAACGTTAACATGAGCTCGCGAGGGAACACCATCGGAGCCGCATCCACTGATAATTCCTCTAAGCCTCACACAGGAGGGGATATTAGGTGGGACGCAGTGAACTCCCTGAAATCGAGGGGAACAAAGATAGGAATCAACGATTTTCGCGTTCTGAAAAGGCTAGGTTACGGAGATATCGGAAGTGTTTATCTGGTTGAGCTCAAAGGGGCAAATCCGACGACGTATTATGCAATGAAAGTGATGGATAAGGCTTCTCTTGTGAGCAGAAACAAGCTGTTGAGAGCTCAGACGGAGAGAGAGATCTTGTCTCAGCTTGATCATCCTTTCTTGCCGACTCTTTACGCTCACTTTGAGACTGATAAATTCTATTGCTTGGTCATGGAGTTTTGTAGCGGAGGCAATCTCTATTCCTTGAGACAGAAGCAACCTAACAGGTGTTTCACAGAAGACGCTGCAAGGTTTGTAATAGTATACAAACAGAGTATTGAAACAGAGAGAAAATATTATAGCTAATTTAAGGGTTTGGGTTTTGTTTCTCATTACAGGTTCTTTGCATCAGAAGTGTTATTAGCATTAGAGTACCTGCACATGCTTGGAATCGTATACCGAGACTTAAAACCAGAGAATGTTTTGGTTCGAGACGATGGCCACATTATGCTCTCGGATTTTGATCTGTCCCTCCGATGTTCTGTCAATCCAACACTGGTCAAATCTTTCAACGGAGGCGGAGCCACCGGAATTATAGACAATAATGCGGCGGTCCAAGGATGTTACCAACCATCCACATTCTTCCCAAGAATGCGCAAATCCTCGAAGAAAAACCGTAAATCCAAATCCGATTTCGATGGTTCATTACCAGAACTCATGGCAGAGCCAACAGACGTGAAATCAATGTCTTTTGTCGGAACACACGAGTATTTAGCGCCGGAGATCATCAAAAACGAAGGTCATGGGAGCGCTGTAGATTGGTGGACGTTCGGTATCTTCATCTACGAGCTTCTCCATGGAGCGACGCCTTTCAAAGGACAAGGAAACAAAGCTACGCTTTATAACGTAATCGGACAGCCTCTGAGATTCCCGGAATATTCTCAGGTGAGCTCGACGGCGAAGGATTTGATCAAAGGCTTGCTGGTAAAAGAGCCTCAAAACAGAATCGCGTATAAGCGAGGCGCGACAGAGATCAAGCAACACCCTTTCTTTGAAGGTGTGAACTGGGCGTTGATCCGTGGAGAAACGCCGCCGCATATGCCAGAGCCGGTGGATTTCTCGTGCTATGCGAGGAAGGAGAAGGAGTCTTTGCCGGCTGTGGCCGCAGAAGGAAAGAAAAGCAACATGTGTAATGAAGCTAAGAGCGGTAGTGATCCTGATTACATTGTTTTTGAATATTTTTAGTTTTAGTTACGTTTAACACTCCTGAATACATTTCTTTCCGCTTTTAGAATTCTGTGGAGTGTACCCTCGTTTTCTATTGAAAATTTCAATATTTTTTTGAGTTCTTTTCAATCGGTTGTTCATTTTGGGTAGATGGTCAGATAATTGTGAGTACGAATAGAATAATATGTGATCACGTTCCAAAATTACTACAATCTAATTGTACCTTTCTCTTCTTTTCTTTTCTTTTCACCTTTATATCTTTTTGTATTGGATAGCTCAGGAACATGACAAATAACAGAATTTGCATCCTGCGTTAGTTGCATGAAACGACGTCGCTCCTTGAGTTAGCTATAACTATTGGGCCGAAGAGAAAGCCCACAATTTGACTTTCTTAGGAAAATATAATCTAGTTTTCGAAGTGAAAGTAAACATTTTTCGAGAGCAAATCGAAGCTTTTGTTTAATGGCGGCTGGGTTCTTTCAAGCAGAGATGTCAATTTTATCTTCTACCTTGGCGCGCTCATACTCGATTCCTTTCCGCAACACACTAATGTCCTTCGATTTTCGAATTGCAATGCAACGAAACCCTTTTACCAGAATTCGATGTTCTCGTGTAGCTGCTTTCAGCTCGTCTCCTTCGCATTCACGAAACTTTCCAATTCCAGGTAAATATTTGATACCTGAAATCTGATTTTTGTTAGAAATGGAGCAGATACATAGCTTTACGGATCGTGATTAGCGTTTATGTGCTTAAAGTTCAGTCTTTTATTCGTCTTCAGGGCTAGAGGATGTTTTTGTTGGTTATCTCTTTGGAAGGAAAAAGGCAACAGAAGTAGCTCATGTGTGAGTACTTTCTAAATCAGAACCTGAACTAATACTGTCTTCACCATTTAAAGCTTTCAGATTTTATGTCAATTAATAGCTTAACCTTGGAGCTTTAGCAATTACACACATGATGATATAAGCTGTCCCGGATTAAAGAATGAATCTTGGGATCTTAGTGTTAAGGATAATGTTGATGCTTTGAAGCTGCACTCAAAGTTTCTTATTATATCACCTGGTGATTATTACCTTTCAGTGTGTGGGAGAAGGTAATCCAAAAGGGGGATATGGTCATTGATGCTACATGCGGTAACGGGAATGATACTTTAGCAATGTTAAAGATGGTTATCGATGATTCTGGTGGCTGTGTTTATGCAATGGACATCCAAAAAGATGCCATTGAGAGCACTTCCTCTTTGCTGGATCAAAACCTTGGTTCAAAAGAGGTTAGATAACTACCTAAGCTTGTTTCCATAGCTGTGTGGTTCTTATTAATATCGAGCCTTGTTCCATTTCTGCTGAAGTAATGCAGAAGGACTGCGTCAGACTCTTTAACATCTGCCATAGTAAAATGGAAGAGATTGTCCCTGAAAACACCCCTGTAAGGTACAACATAGATTCACTGACCTGATGCAACATTTTTGTTGAATCCTCAACGATAATTTCCTCGCTTTACCGGGTTGGTTAGTACGCTGCTTTACGTAACTTAAAAGGTCGAATTTTTGTTTTGATGATCATAGGATGGTTGCATTCAATCTCGGGTATCTTCCAGGTGGCAACAAGTCAATAATCACCGTCTCAGATACAACATTATTGGCATTGAAGGCTGCTGAGAGAGTCTTAATGCCTGGTGGCCTCATCAGCTTGGTTGTTTACATTGGCCACCCTGGTGGAAGGTAATAACTAATAAGAAACTGCTGGCGAAAGATTTCTGTGATGATTTAATAAGGCGCAATGTGTAGTTACATAGGTTGATGATCCATCCTTGTTGTTGCGCAGGGAAGAATTAGAAGTGGTTGAAGCTTTTGGGTCGGGTTTACCTGTCAGTGATTGGGTCTGCTGCAAATTCCAAATGCTGAACAGACCGTTAGCTCCGGTTCTTGTTTTCATCTTCAAAAGAGAGAACTAAAAATGATTATTCAGATCAACAGAAGCTTTGTATGCATCACCATTCACTTGTACATGATATGTTCTTAATGCTTAATCTGAGAGATCATTTTGTTGATATATCAATATGTTTTTTTCTTTTTGACATCTTCAAAGCTGTTTATGGATAAATATTATAAAAAGCTTAAAAACGACCACGGTGGGACTCGAACCCACAATCTCCCGCTCCGGAGGCGAGCGCCTTATCCATTAGGCCACGCGGTCTTTTTGTTAGTAACCTACGTTTAGATTTATAATTCTTATAGTCCCGTCCAAACACAAATACCAAAACTCAAGAATTTCATAAACTGAGTGACAACAAGAACATTGAGAAGATATAACTGAGAGAAACAACTTTCCTGGTTTTTCAAAGGAATTTTTATTAAATCTCCACACAGATGAAACCAAACTCAATAGTATATAGAAAAACGTTTTATCATAAAACCAATTCTCAAAGCTAAGCTTGTGACTGATCATGTAGCTTCTTCTTGGACTTTCTCATGTAGAAGAACCCACCATGGGCAAGTCTGGTTCGGTTGCCCATTCAGTCCAAGACCCATCATAGATCGGGACATCAGCTTTTCCCAAACGATGAAGTCCCTGACGAGTAAAAAAAAAGTAATCAGTCTCAGTTTTATTTTCATATCATAGTAAATGAGTGAATTCTAATATCATCATTTTGTTACCAATGTCAAAATACAAGCTGTTACACCGGTTCCACATGAGGCCATGATTGGACTGTCCAGTGAAATGCCTGCAGATAAACGGTTAAGTAATCGTTTAAAACAGCTGCTTAGGTAATGCAATTTGTTTTACCTTCTTGTTCAAACCGCTTCTTCAGCTCTTCCGCTGGTAACAGTGTTTGAGAGGAATCAAACATCTGCATAAGAATATGTTATCATATTGATGGTGTCAAAATAAATATAAAATCAAGTCATTCAAGTTAGACGGTGGCTTACTTCGGGAAAAGGGACACACTTGCTACCAGGTATATGACCGCTTGGTATTCCCTTGCGAGGTTCTGGAGCAGTTCCATCAAATCTGTGAAACAGAGTTAATTCTATCAAATGATATAACCAGAACCAATTTTAAATCATTACCATAGTAAAGTGAGATTACAATCCAGACCAAGCAATGACTTGGAAACATACCTAGCTTTTGCACGTGCATCTATGTGCTGATAAGTCCTATCAGCCATGTTTTTCTTCACCTGTCAATTATCCAATTAGCTCCCCTAATTTACTAGCTAACTATACAAACTTTAAATCTGTTAATAACAGAAAGGGCATCTTTGAAGATAAACCAATTTACTACTCGGCTACTCCGCTTCAATACCACCAACGATTTGATTTGCGGAACAATAAACAAAGTGTTTATGCAAAAATGAATTGAATAGCACCACCTCAAATTTCAAAGAAAAAATCTGTTTAGGAAACGCTAACCTGATCAAGTCCCCATACAAGATGTGACTGGAACTTCGTCTGAAAAGTTATTGGAGTAATCTGGACCAGCAAAGATGTGGATAAACCTTAAGTAGCAGGTAAACCAACTGAATATGCAGATTGGCAAAACCTTTTCTATAAATGAGTTAACTTACTGTTTGTCCTCGATAAATTTTCTCTACGGCTTCACTTGCTAGACTGGCTTTCAAAATGGCATCACTTGAGGCACTGGATTCAACGTCATAACCTGAAGCACGCCATTTCGGCAAGCCTCCATCAAGTACCCATACTTTGTCATGTCCAAAGACTCTAAACATCCTGTTTTAACAAAAGGCGTACACATCAACTTGATAATACCTAAGAAAGCATATTTAGCAAAGATTAATAAAGAGACATGAGATCCATAACTCACCACCATACACGAGCTGCACTAAAGAGCCCCTTTCCATCATATACAACCACGCCATCTTTGTTCTCGATTCCAAGAGCAGAACAGCCAGCAGCGAAAGCTTCCTCAGATGGTAGCATGTGTGGTAACTGACATAAGGCACATAAAAACTCACAATCTGAACTCTGAAGGCTTGCCAAAGCTTTAATGGGAAAATTTCTCAAGAAAAAAGGATATTAACAATCAAATAACACAGCAAAAAGTCTAGGTTTTGTTGCTAGAGAAACAACAATATCCTCGAAGTGGCTGCAATGAAGGGGTACTTATACATAAAAGTGATGGCAGTATGAAGTCTAAGTTAGAAATAAAAAAAGCATCTTTTTAAAAGAAAAGGGGCAGAGATTCACACATTTGTTTTTCGATCTGATATTCCATCCAAATCAAAGAAGAGAGCACCTGGAATATGAGCAACCTGTAGAAGAGGATAACATACAAGCCAATCAACATATACTCGTGTACAAACTCTAATGCAGAGTTTTACTTTCCATACAAAAATTTCATAGTGATCATCCAGAACAATGGCTTAAAGCTTGTTTACTTAGTTATCTACGAAACTGTACATATTCTCACTTGATACTCTTGGATTGGATTTCTTTGCTCATGTGGCATGTACCATGAGGCATCCAAAACCTGACCATGGAAACAAACAAGTTAGGTAAGAATCATGACGGAAAAAGAAAAAGTCTTGAAGAAGTATGTAGTCACAACTCACAACATGTGGAAAATACAAGTATTCTGAGATTAAATACAACAAAGCACCAATGGCAATTACCTTTATATCAGCCCCTCTAAGATTAGCATGGAGCCAATCTACAGACACAACAGGTTCATCGGTAGATATGGATGATGTCGCATAATTAGCTTTTGGTCCAGCTCCAGTAGAAGCCATAACTCGACTAACGTGAGCAGATGATTTATAAGTTGAATAGGCAGAGTGTAACTGTAAGCTGAATGCTTTCTTCTGCAATAAACAGAGTTACAAAAAGCCACACAAGAACTCTAAGCTCACACAACTTAACATAATCCATTTTCAAACTCAAAAAGGTCGCAATACGAAAGATAACATTTCCATACGTTTACTTATCACTACCAAACAAGTGAAACAGGAAGAAAAAAAAGAAAATCCTTAATTTCTTGTATTTAAAGTCACCAACTGAAATCACGGAGAACGCAGTACAAGCCCCTAACTTGAGGTTAGAATCTCAAAATTGCAAAACAAAAGATAAAAAAAAATCCAAATTTTTCCCACAATTCAATAAAATGAAATACACAAGTGAAAGAAAACCACGGGTTCAAGTCATCTGACACAGACATCATCGGATAATCTACACAATTAACTACAACTCCCTATGTGAAACCTTTGCTAATCTCAAAATCCCACAACTCGTAGTAGCCTATATAACACTAACCGAAGAAGGATCAGAAACTAGAAGTCAAAACCACGATCAAACAAAGGCCTAAGCAGAGAGAACGCGGTACAAGCCACTTACGTTTAGAAAGGTTGCAAAATGACGCGTCCTCTGCGGAAGAATAGGAGATAGAGAAGGATTAAACAGGCAGTGACGAGCAACCAATAAAGATCTTGAGTAAAGGGTCGAAGCCATTTCACCTCACAATATCATGTAGATGACAAATTGTTGAACTAAAGCCGCCAAATATGTTACTGTTCAGATTCCCCAAGCTCGCAATTTTTTTCGAAGCTTCGTTCTTAACGATGCTGCTCCTGTGTACTCCCCACCACTGATGATACAGAAAATCGCGTTTGCGTTCTCTTTATGAAACGCGGGCGTTATAAACGCAGTTATTTTTGCGTTACTTCCCCATTCTTCTAAAAAAAGGAAAATAAGTAAAAGGAGAATCTCGTAAAATCTCTCTCACTTCAACCTTCTCTGCAAGAAATCTAATAAGCCTATTTCTTTCACCTCTCTCTCTCTGCAACTAATTGCTTCGTCGATCTCGATTCTCAAGCTCGAGCTCAAGGTAAGCTAGTCTCTTCACTGTGGTAGTTCCTGTTTGAGGATTCGTGTCGATCTTAAAAGTTCCATTCTAGTATACATTAGGTGTTTTTTATAGAGTCTGATGTTTAGATGACGAAATTTGAATCGGTTGATCTCGGTGACTTTAAAACCCTAATTTTCGTGGGGGTTTAGAACCACGAGTCCAATTGTTGTGAATTTCTTTGCAATAAAATTGATCTCGCTCGTCTGTGTTGTTCACAGCTTTCGCGGATTTGCTTAAGGAGCTATGGGTGACAGTCAGTACTCGTTTTCACTCACCACTTTCAGGTAAGAACTTAGCTAAATCATTCTCGTTCATGTCTTCCTGAGCATTTTGGGTTAGTTTTTGCTGTGACTAACTTGTACTGTGGCTATGGAAACAGCCCATCTGGGAAGCTGGTTCAGATAGAGCATGCCCTTACTGCTGTTGGGTCAGGTCAAACATCTTTGGGGATTAAAGGTTTGGCCGTCACACATTCTAATAGATCAATGAAAGTTCGTAGTTTTCTTCTGATAGCTGTTTTTTTAATAATTGTATTGTTGTTGTTTACTGCAGCTTCTAATGGAGTCGTCATTGCAACCGAAAAGAAATTGCCTTCTATTCTGGTTGATGAAGCATCTGTAAGTGGTTTGGGTCAGTTTTAAGAAATAAGTTATTGTATTGTTGCATGCTGGCCATGATTTCTGGTGCTTTTTTAAAATTGCGTAATACAGTCAACATTTCTGACATTAGTTTTCCCTTCTCCCTGTTTCAGGTTCAAAAAATTCAGCATTTGACTCCTAATATTGGAGTTGTGTACAGGTTTTTCTCCTCGCTTATCTTAAGTTTTTATTTGTTATTGTTTTTGATTTTATAGCTTGGATGCTAACATTTTTTTGCACTTTCTTCTATGAAGTGGCATGGGTCCTGATTTTCGAGTTCTTGTTAGGAAGAGTAGGAAACAGGCTGAGCAATACCTCCGTCTTTACAAAGTAAATATTTTTCTCATTCTTACTCATAACCCTTGCTAATGTGATATGGTTTCAGTTATTTTCCTCCATAAATGTTTATTTCCCTTCAGTTGCTTTATTATCTAAGAAGCTTTATTGTTGCAGGAACCCATCCCTGTTACCCAACTTGTAAGGGAAACCGCTACTGTTATGCAAGAGTTTACTCAATCGGGGTAAGTGTTATATTTACTTAAAATTGTAAAATTTAACGTCATGTCATATGTTTACTTCCGCCCATATTCCCAATATGTTTGAGATGAACTGAATTATTTTCTCTGAAAAAGCAAGAGTGCGTAACTTTGCTCTTGAAATTTGAGATTTGATCATTGATTTGACATGAAATAATGTTGCTTTAGCAAATTTGTATTCATTATATATCCTGGCTCTAATTTTTTTGTACATTCTCTTGTTAACAGTGGTGTTAGGCCTTTCGGGGTTTCCCTGCTTGTGGCTGGATATGACGACAAGGGTCCACAACTTTATCAGGTATTTCCTCTTCAGGATATCTGCAAGCTTATTCAGAACAATCGAGTCTCACAATATTCTTAAACCAAATTTCCGTTCTTATCAGCGCTGAAAAAACAAAGCTTAGCAAACTTGTAGCAGAGTATTTACCTTTCTGCATTATCCTGTTACAATAATCACCATCTTATAGTTCTGTCTAAACCGAAGTACCATCTCATCTTGAGAATATAACCTGAGAATTAAACTTTGCTTCTTTCTGATTCAATACTTTTTGTTCTTATGCTAGGTGGATCCATCTGGCTCTTATTTCTCCTGGAAAGCTTCAGCCATGGGGAAGAACGTTTCCAACGCAAAAACATTCCTTGAGAAAAGGTAATATTGTTTACTATTTGTTGATATCCAAGGACGGTAGATACGTGGAACATTCTATAACCAATTATCTAATCTTGAAAATTTAACTTTCTTAGTCAAATTTCATTTAGTTTGGCTCCTGTCATAACAGGAAAGCACTCTTCTTTCGCTGACCAACCTTAACCATCCACAAATTCCTTGCAGGTACACAGAAGACATGGAACTTGACGATGCCATTCACACAGCGATATTGACATTGAAAGAAGGGTAAGTATAAATCTACGAATTCAAGGTCTTTTGATCATTCATTAGTAGAAAAAAACAGTCTTGTGGCTGTTAGATTACCAAACCCATAGCACTGTCGTTTATAATGGAAGCACAGGGTTAAAGCGCTTGTATTCTTGTAAGGATTTCTGATTATGATGCATGCAGTACCTGTGTAGCTCTAGTCTTATTATACTGTGCCGAAAAGCCTTAACCTCATTTGATTTTGGTTTTTGCTTTTGGTAGCTTTGAGGGAGAGATTTCAAGCAAAAATATTGAAATTGGCAAAATCGGAGCTGACAAAGTTTTCAGGTACCCTTTTTGTTCAACACCAAGAATCTTTGTTGCTGCTGCTGATGTTTGAATAGAATGTTTTTGATGCTCAATTGTATTTTTTTTTTGGATTAATGCAGGGTACTAACTCCAGCGGAGATCGATGATTACCTTGCTGAAGTTGAGTAACTTCCAGCATATAGTATAGCAACAAACATGCGTTTAAAACCTGATTTTTCTGGCATTTGCAGTCTTAAAAGTTGGTTTTCTGTAGAACTTATGGATCTTTAAATAGTTTGTTGCTGAACTCAAACTGAGTGTCTTTCTTCTGATTCAATAACTAATGAAATCTGTTTTTTTTTCTTTCACTCAGTGAAGGTTTCAGAAAAATCTTTTTAAGTATTCTTATCTTGTCAATCGTTAAATTGTTTGCATAGCAACTTTCACCTCCAATCGAGAAACCAACTCTATTCCATTACTTACAAAACAATTAACTGTCTACACACAGAATTATGCATCCTTTTGAAGAAATATCCAATTAATGTTACAAAACTAGTGAAACCCAAAACCTTATTCAAAGAATCCTATAAAGAAATTGTCAGCTAGCTACTGTATATCGCTGTAATTGAGCTTCCTCCTCTTTCTTTCACCAATAATCCTTACAAGAACACACACCCCTCTCAAAATGGTGAAATCGATACTGATCTCTCAACACGATTCTACGTCCGATGACTCTACTAACAAACTTGTACACAGAGTGACAATCACCACATATGCGAAGGTTTTTAAAGATTCTAAGGGTGGAACCTTCAGGAGTACTCATCAACGCATAAGCAAGAGCCAGTCTTTCACTGTGATTCCAAAGATTGTGCTCTTTTTGTTCTTCATCTGTGTCTTGCAGAGCCTGACTAGTATCTGCGACATAGCCAGATTCTTTGATCAGCTTCTTTATGTCTTCTAACTTTGCGTATATCTCCAATGTTTGCGGATGAGTTCTGTCTCCAATACCAAACGAACTTACTTTGTCTTTTAGTTTTACCCAACTGCAAGCTTGTTTCTTCGTGATGTTCTTGAAACCCATTTGCTTTCTCACATTTTCCACGTCTTCCCATCTACCTGTTGTCGCAAACATATTTGAGGACAAGACATAAACAGAATCATCCTCTGGTTCTAGCTTCGCGAGATTTTCTGCTGCTTTTCTTCCGCGTTCTAAATCCCCATGGATTTTGCAGGAAGCTAATAAACTACGCCACACGAGGTCGTTTGGTTTCATCGGCATTTTAGATATAAAGGTTTCAGCTTCAGCTAACCTCCCTGATCTTCCAAGAAGATCAATTACACAGATGCAATGTTCGATCGCCGGTTTTAAACCAAAATCTCGAGCAATCATGTCGTAATATTCAAGGCCTTCGTCTACTAGTCCTCCGTGGCTGCATGCTGTAAGAAGAGAGACAAATGTGACATGACCCGGCTTACATCCCATTTCAAGCATCTCATGGAAAGTCTCACAAACTTCTTCGAAGCACCCATGTCTTCCAAAAGCTGATATTAATATGTTCCACGAAGGAAGTGATCGATTGACTGATAGAGGAAACATTTTCACAACATCCCCTATTTCCCCACATTTGCTATACATGTCTGCAGCAGCGTTTAAGATGAAGCAATCTTGTTCAAATCCCAGTTTTACAGCTAAACCATGAAGTTGTTGGCCTTCTTCTAGGACCGCTAGCTTCGCCGCAGCAGAAAGTCCCTCAGAGAAGCTAAACTGGTCTAGAGTCAAACCAAATCTTCTCATCTTTGATACAAGTTTTAGCACCTCTTCTCCATGACCATGATGAGCATTTGCCGCAAGCATAGCATTCCACGTGATGATATTCCAATTATCTAGTCTGTTAAATAGGTCTTGACTCGAGCTTAAATCACCGCATTTTGCGTACATAGTGATAAGCGAGTTCTTCACGTGTTCATCTGATTCAAATCCAGCAGAAACTATATAGGCGTGTAATGGCTTCCCCCGTTCAACCAAATCACAGGGCATTAAACAAGCACCAAGAACACTTACCACTGTGATATAATTTACAGGAACACCTTCCACTCGCATAGTTCGGAAAGCCGCCAGTGCCTTATCGAGATCTTCATTTTCAGCATAGCCACCAATAAGGGCATTCCAAGCTACTTCATCTCGTCTAGGCATCTGTAGTAGTACCCGTCTGGATTTGCTCATCTCGCCTATCTTTCCGTACATAGAAACCAATGCATTACCAATAATCTGATTGTCAAATAAACCAGTGACTACTACAAGCCCATGAAGGATCCTGCCTTTATCGAGAAATTCTGAACTAAAGCAAGCAGCCAATGCGCTTGTAAAACTCACATAGTTCACTGATTTTCCAGTTCTTATCATTGAACAAAGAAGTCCTAAAGCATCTAAGCTCCTCCCATCCTCGACATAACAAGCCATCAAAGAATTCCATGAGATCAGATCTTTAGTGGGCATTAGTTTGAACACCAACTCTGCCTCTTCTGATCTTCCAGCACCCGCATACATTCTCAAAAGAGTATTGCACACACAAACAACTGAACTGAATCCCATTTTAACCACCAAACCATGAATTCCTCTACCCCATTTTTGGTGATCTACATGACCCAAAACTGATAACAGAGTAGACACAGTGGTGGAGTTCACTTCATCGTTAAAACGACGCATTGAATTGAAAATCCTAAATGATTCCTCGAAATGACCATTTTGTGCATATGCCGCAGCAATCGAATTCCATGAAATAGTATCACGTTCGGACATTTGATCAAAAATGTAATTTGCATAGTTGACATTTCCCAGATTACCAAACATGGATATGAGAGAATTCTCCACAGCGAGCTTACTCTCCAGTCCCGATTTGATAACCTGTCCGATAATTTGACGACCCAAGGATTCATCTTTAAGCAATCCACAGGAACTGATTACCAAAGACATGGAATTCTCATTACACTCAACTCCTTCTCCTCTCATACGTTTAAAGATATCAATGACTTCCTCTGGCTCACCCTTATCCGAGTAACTAACCATCAGTGAAGTCCAAGACACCACGTTTCGGACAGGCATCTCCTCAAAGACTTTTTTCGAACACGAAACCAATCCATAAATCCCATAGAGATGCAAAATAGCTGTACTCACATAAACGTCAGACAGTAATCCAGACTTAGCCACAAAGCCGTGAACTTGAACCCCTTCTCTGAACATAAAACCTGACCGACCACAAGCTGTTACTAAACTGGCAATCACAAAGCTACTTGGATTAATACCAATATCACAAATCTTCCGGAAAAAATCCATTCCTTCCAAATACAATCCAACACGGACTAGCCCTGACATCATGGTATTCCAAGAAACTTCGTTTCTCACAGGCATTTCATCGAACAGGTAACGCGCAGGTTTGACTCGGCCAAATTTCATATACATGTTAATCAAAGTGTTGGTTTGCAGCACACTCAGACGAACTAATCCCTTGACACAGAGCGCGTGGACAGCTTTTCCCGTAGACTCTCTACTGATTTGAGAGAAACCAATTTGATCGAAACAAGATAATTCCGGGTTCCAATGGCCTGAGAGCGAGAAACATCCACTCAATCTGGTAACTTTTCTTACTTCTTCTTCTTCCACCCTTTCCAAACATTGCAATGTCGAGATTCGTCGCGTCTTCGAGTGGCGGGAGACAAACCCACTAAGCAAACGAGTTTCCCCGCCCTGAAAAGACAGGACTTTGCGTCCCCAGCTGGCCAGCTCTAATTCGTCGACGTTTCAACGGTGGTTCCCGGAAAAGATCAATACACCTACAAAAAAAAAAAGAGAGAGACTGCTGTTTTGAAAAGAAAAAAAAAAACAACAAACCGGAGAAGCATACCAGAAACCGGAATTAATGGACCATATAAAACCGGTACTACTGACCGGTTTATGGTAGAAACTAAAAAGCCATCATTTCAATATGAGTCCCGTACTATTCTTTTGTTGCTTGCTTAGCCCCAATTGTTTTATCCTACACCCGTTAACCCTCTGCAAGTCACTGGGCTTGATAGTCAGGATCTAGAGTAATTGCAAGTCATTAGGTCTCTCTGTCTCACTCGTACGACATATGGACGAAGAAAGATTGAAAATTTCTCAGCTTTTTCGGGTAAGTTCTCTGAATCGTTTGTATTCCACTTCACCTTTGGCACATGGTTGAGATTTCAGACGTAGCGTAAGTAAATCTAACTTCGTCAGAAACAAACAAATCAAAAATAAATACAAACGGTTCCTTTGACATTCAGAATTTGTAATTGATGATTGAAAGTAAAATATCTATCTATTTTGGACAAGGACTTGAGACTTGTTTTGTTTGTTCGTATTTATAAAATTTTAGCTGCTGAATCAATTTTGAAGACAAGAATTTATCATCTCTGTCAGCTTTCCATTTCTAGATAGTTGTTAGCTTGGGATGAATTGGTTTCACTTACAAAGCAATCATTTTTGCAAATACAATCTTTCAACTCTGTAATATCTACATGTCGTTGACATATTTCTACATGCCCCTAACTTATCTTGCTCATCTACTAAAAATGCCAAGATTATTAGCTCTTTTGTAGATCTCTGATGAGGATAATAATTCCGCTTTTAAGGTGAAATGAGTTGCTTTATTGCTTCATTAATGTATCAGGAGTTTGTAACCCTCCAAGAGCGATGATGAGGACGATTCTTCTCCATCTGTGGTGCCCTGTTCATGCTGTTGGTTATCGTTTTCTTCTAGCCCGAGTTCGCTTTCCAGGTGCTTGAACCATTTCTCAATTTCATCTCCTTCAGACTCTTGAGTAGCCCTTGAACTCCAACTGTTCTCAAGTTGTTGGAATGAGTCTGAACCATCTATGAAACTCCAAATGTCATGATCTAAATCAAAAGGTATCTCCTGCAGCTCTGGTTTGTCTACCTCTTGTAACATCCCTGTAAAGTCGCTGTAAGTTTGAATATGCTCGAACGCTTGACTTATCTGTGCATCATCTTCTTCTCTGCTTGAAATGTTGGAGCCAGCGAAAGACATGGAGGCATTAGGAGATGACTCTTGAGAGGTCTCAGCTTCGTTCAAAGAATCTTTTGAAGCCGCTTCATCGGCATTAAGGTTAGTAGTGTCTGAGCTCAATCTTTTCTTGAGATGTGTATGCCACACGTTCTTGATCTCATTGTCTGTTCTTCCTGGCAGTTTAGAAGCAATCTTCGACCACCTGTATCAAAAATGCAGAAAAACAAGTGTCAAAATTGAAACTTTGAGCCACACAAGGTATTAACAAGATGAGACATACTTGTTCCCAAAGCTCTGGTGAAGTTTAATGATGGTTTCTTCTTCCTCTGCGCTGAAATTGCCACGTTTCACATCAGGTCTGAGGTAATTAATCCATCGTAGACGACAGCTCTTGCCACACCTTAACAATCCTTCATTGCATTTGCATGCATAGATAGAATCAGAACCAGAAGATTAGAAAATCTTAAGAAAAGTAGGATCTTTAAGATCGGGGAATATACCAGCTTGTTTTGGGAGAGATCTCCAGTTCTCATGACCAGACTTGTGGATGAAAGAGATGAGTTTCAAGTCTTCATCTTGGCTCCATGGTCCTCTCTTCACTTTGGTTTTGTCACAACATGGCGCTCTACCTTTACCCATTCTCTCTCTCTCTCTC